CCCCCTTGAATTTAAAGCAGGATACGCCCCTGGTGGTGAGCCCTTTTGTCCCGTTGAAAAACGCTGATCATATGTTTGTAGTTAAACGGGCATAAACATGTCGACGTCCCGTCCAGTCTAGACCGATAAATTGACGTTGTCTTTTGCAGAACAGCAAGTAACCAGCTCGAAGACGGAGTTGCGGAAGTCTGGACGGCAAAGGTCCAAGCGGAAACCACGTGTTTTGTTTTCGCAAGGTCAAGTTTACGAATTGGAACAAAGATTCAAAATGCAGAAGTACGTGTCGGCTCCGGAGCGCGAGCAAATGGCCCAATCTTTGAATTTAACGCCCACGCAGGTCAAAATCTGGTTTCAGAATCGCCGGTAAGACGAACATCAATTTTGCTCTTTTCGGATGGTTTCGGCTGACACAAAGTGGTTTTTTCCAGATACAAGAACAAAAGGCAGACGCTGGAGAAGGCTGAAGTTGAAAAAGCCGCTGTGGAGCCAATTAATCCAGCGGGCACAGTTAATATGCCCTACTACGTGCCTCCAATGCCTCAAGGAAACTATGTTTTCCCCACTAATTCCCCCCCGAGTTACAACGCTGCAGACTTCTTCAGCGCGACCGATTACGCAACGTACGCATGAAATCGCCTCCGGAGATTTACACTCTTTTTTAGCAAGTTTAGCCTCTCAGGTTGTTGCACATAAGACTGAAACATTGAGGTTGTAGGTTTGTAAATACACATGGATTAGACGTGGAAAACTGTACATAAGTTGTAGATAAGTTCTATATGGTTGAGGAGGACTCATTTTTTTACAAACTTCTTGYTGGGTATTTCGTCTCAAACATTTTTGCCTTTAAAAGACAGAATTTCCTCACGTCTTCTACTACAGATTGATAAATAGTGCTCCTACTTCGCAATAMGACCGAATTATTTATCAAAAAKTAATCAAGAACTATCACCTAGAGGGTATCCTGCGACTCTTAGGCTCAAGCTGTAAGAGAAAATTCCAATTAGAAAAGAAATTAATTTGAAAAATTACCTTGACGTTTTAATAGCTATTTTCTGCTATCGTCATCAAAAGAACCTAAATGAACCTAAAAAAGAGTATGTTAATAAATTGTGTAACAATAGTAGGATAATACAGTATATGAAAATTCGCTCTGATAATTCGTCTGTGCAAATTGTCAGTTATGCGACTTTGCCTTAATCTCATTGTTTAAATTAATAAAGGTAATGTTAATTAATAATTTTGCTGTAAATTTAATTTGGGAGTATGTTTCTCTGGTCTACTTCAGATTTTCGCATAAATTCGACTTAATTTAAATGAACATGAAGCAACACAATTATTTTGATTTAGGAAAATTAGCGCGCTTTTTTTAATTCTACGTTTTTTTGTAGATTCTCCTTTTGTTAAAATTGTGGAATTATTCCATTGAATTTCATGGCAATTATCAAACGCATGTTGACAAATGTGTGATTTATGATATTCTCAGTTTTTTATGTATGATTGGTATTCTTGAGCCTAAGTGTGTCGCAGGATACCCTCTAGCTGATAGTTCTTGATTACTTTTTGATAAATAATTCGTTCTTATTGCGAAATCTATTTATCAATCTGTAAGGAAATTCTGTCTTTTTTAAAGACAAAAATTGTTGAGACGAAATGCACATAAGTTGATAATATCTAAGTGTTAATGTAAGCAATTGTATTTTGAATAAATAACTGTTGTTAAACCAACAGCGGTTGTTGGCTTGTTTCTGTCCGTAACCCACATCGAATGGCCTTTTCCTATCGCCGTTCATTTTGGGGTAATATTTTTCGTCGAATTCCACATTGAAGCGTCATTTTCTGGCTTAAAATCAAAAGCATGTTCCTTCCATGAAAAAATCCTGACTCCCAGTTGAACATCAAATATTCACTTGGTGTTTAAAGTAAATTTTGACCGCTGGGAAATAATGGGGATCGGTTTGGTGTGGCCTTCAGAATAAAAACTGCAGAGTCAATTACCAAGGTTTCGGAAAATGAATTTCCTTC